GCGGACCCCCGGGAGCGTCCAGCCCCGGCCCGGGATGCGCCGGAGCTCCGCGGGGCCGCTTCGTTCGAGCAAAACCCGCGGGGGTTACATCGAAAAGAGCAACAGTCCGTGCTCAAACTGCCCCTCCGGGGTGAAATCGGATGGAAACCCCCCTGGCCCCACTCCCCGCCGTCGTCCCGACTCCACCGAGTTTCGGAGCGGCCCAAAGTTTCGGGGCAAACGAGAAAAGTCCCTGGAAAGGCGGCAGAGGGATCGGTTCACCCCCAGCCCTCCCCGCTTCCCTCCCTGCTTCATTTACCCCGCTTGCTGCCGCTTTCCCCCCCTCCCAGCGCGGCCCCGGCCCGACCCACCGGGACCGGGGAAAGGAGGGCGGTGGAGGCGGGGGCAGCTCCCGGCGGGACCCCCGGACCGGTCCTGTCCCTAAAAACCTCCTGGGCAGGATCTGCGGAGAGAGGGAAAATATTCAGGGGGAGAGCATTAAAGAAAACAGTATTATCTCCCGCAAAAGGGAAAGAGAAAGGAAAAGAAGCCAGGAGCGGCGGCGGAAAGGGCCTGATCTGGCAGCTAAAACTGCCTTAAAATTAGGGAAAAAAAAAAAAAAAAAAAAAGGAAGAAGAAGAAAAGAAAAGCCTGAGAGGGCGCAGATCCCGCTGGTCGGTCGAGAAGGGGCCGAAATTTTAAGGAGAGGAAACGGCCGGTGGGGAAAGAAAGGGCCGGAGTTTTCTTGCCTGGCTGGATTCCTTCCCGGAGCGCCACAAACCACAGTGCAACGCGCTGGGCGCTGCCGGGAAAGTGGGGACGGGGAAAACCGCACCCGAAAAGGCGGGATAAGGCGGGGGAAGGGGGCAGAGGTGCGGGGATGCCCCCTCAGCCCGCGGCCGGCCCGGGGGGCACGGAGCCCCAGGGCGGGGGCGCGCTCGGGACGGCGGGGCCGGGGGGGGCTCCGGTCCCGTCGCTGCGCCCCCCGGAGCGGTTTTCTCCGTATCCCGCTTTAATGACCCCAAATCCAAGTGGAACTTTTCCGGCGTGGCTGGTTTTTTCCCCGCTTTGTTTTGTTTTGGAAGCGAAAGCGTTTGAATTCCCCTTCAAGAACCGGTATCAAAGTCTCTTTTTTTAAAAGCTATTGATTGCAAAAGTCTTATTTAAACCAACACATTTTAGTTTCTCACATTTTAAAACATCATCTGGGGCCCATTGTATGGAAAATCGATTAGCAGGAATTGCCACGCTCTTTGCCTCCCGCTTGATTGTTGGAAAATCGAGACATCCATAGGCAAAGGCTGGGCTGGGAAAGGTTTGGAACCGAAATGAAAGGGTTTGCGAGGGATCTATAGGCACTAAATAATTCACCTGCCAGGCGATGGTGCTGTTATTTTGAAGCCTTAAAGAACTTTAAGGAACTTTTGGCTCCCGGCGGGGTGCGCGGAGCCGCGTCCCGGCTCCTTCTCCCTCCTTGCCCGGTAAACCCCGACGGTTTGGCCGGTGCCCGGTGCCTGCTCGGCGAAGGCACCGCCCGCGGTGCGGCCCCTCCGCTGGGGCTGGTCCTGGCCGGGTCGTTTGTGCTTTCGCGCTGTTCCTAAGAGGGATGGAAAAATAAAAAAAAAATAAAAAAATATAGATTTGAACGCAAAGCAGCTCAGGAGCTGCGCATCGGCACCGGTGGGCAGGGGTACCGGTAGGGTACCGGCAACAGTGCTCGTCGTGCCTCCCGCACCCCTCCCCGGCTCCCGGGCTGCCCCCCGCCCCACGCCGCCCCTCCTTTGCGGGCTGCCCCAAAAGTCCCGCACCGCCCGGGGAAGAGGGAGGGCAGCAGGGCAAGGACAGGGGTGCAGAGCGGAGCTCTGCGAAGCTGGAGGGGTTTGGGGTGGATTTGGGGGGGGGTGGGCTACTGGGTCCGCGCCTCTTCTCTCCCCGCTCGCCCCGTCCGAGCGAAGCCGCTGCGGGGATGTCGCGGGGGTGTGTGGGGGGTGGGCCGGGGGGAGTTGCCCCGGGGCCCCGCTCTCCCCTCCGCACTTACCGCTCTGCGCCCCCGGGTGCCCGCACCGCCCGGCTCCGCTCGGAGCGCTGCCCGGGCGGCTGCGGAGGAGCAGAGGGAAGGGAATTAAATAGAGAGAGGGAGCTCAGGAAGAAAGAGGAGGCGAGGGAAGGGATCAATAGCATCCAGCTGGCGAATGGAGCCCGGGCCTCTCCCCCGCGCTGCGCCCCGGCCCATCGCCAGAGCCTCTGGGCTCTCCGAGGGGCTTCCCCGAGGCCGGGGCCGCCGCGCAGACAGCGAACCCCGCGGCTCACGCGGTCCCGCAGCGGCTCGGCCCGGGGCCGGCCCCGCACCGCTGCCCGGGGAGCTCCCGCAGCCTCCCCGCGCCCCGGCCCCGCGTGTCTCGGTGCCTCTCGCCTGATGATATTGCATCGATCGGGGAAGGGCCGGGGGGGCGGGAGGGGGGCGCGGGGCTACCGCATTACTCAATTATGTCGCACTAATTACTAAAAAGTCCCTCTCTGCTGTTTGCTCGGTGCAGAGCTGGGTGGAGGGCAGAGTCCAGCGCCCGTCCCGGGGGGCCCTCGGTGCTGCGGGCCCGGCGGTGCTGGGGGGGGTGGGGGCTTCGGGAGCCCGGCCCGGGGACGCGGTGCGGGACGGCAGCTGCAGGGATAGATCTATCGATGGGCGGTCGATGGGCCGGTCGATGCTCTATCGCCATTATTACACTCAATGAAACCCTTCCAGACGCGGCTGCTTCATCCCTGGTTTGTTCCCCACCTCCTCCTCGCCGCTCACCTCGGCACCCCCTCCCCTCAGCATCCTGTGGCGCTGCCCGGCTCCAGGAGGCACCCCTGCCCATCCCTGCCCGGATCTGGTCATCCCCTGCCCACCCCTGCCCGACTTCGGGCCTCGACGTTCATCTCTGTTCGGCTCCAGACCCCCCTGCCCACCCCTGCTCGACTTCGTGTTTCCGTTACCGGCCTGGAAGCCCCCTCTTGCCCACCTCTTGCCCACCTGGATACTGCGGATTTCGCATCCCCAGTGGAGTCTCTGGGACGTGGCTCCCGCAGTTTTGGGGATCCTGTTCACGGTTCGTGGATCTTCCCGGCAGGGACGAACCGACAGGGGATATCGAGGGGGGGGTGGGAGTCCTTCCATATCCCGGCTCCAGCGGGCTGGATCGCGGCATAGGGGGCAGAAAAGGGCCTGAGAAGAGACCCCCACTCTCCCCTCCGTTCATCAACTGCCCTGCGCCCACGTCCTGGGAACTAACGGAGCTTTATTGTAATGAACCCGGCACCTAATTGACTTCCAGGAGGTGGGATGGGGTGGGATAGGATGGGATAGGACAGGTTAGGCTGGAACGGGTGGGAATGGCTTGGGTGAAATGCACTGAATTCGGACAGTTAACGTTAAATTTTGCTGAATTATTCCCTGCGCAGGCGGGGAGACTCTCCGAGCACCGACCTGCGGCTCCCGGGAGCGCCGGGCCCCGCTGTCCTGCCCCGCACGGACGCCCTTCGGTCGCAGGAGCCTCCCCGCAGCGGCCGGGAACGGAGCAGCCCACGTGGAGCTGGCGGGGCCCACCCGCTGGAAGCTACGGATTTTATTTTTATTTTTTCCCTCTGTTCAATAAAGGTTGGAAAAACAGCATGTGCCGGCCTGGAGGAGCGGGAATGGCCGGGAAAGACCAGAGTGGGGAGGGGAGTCCAGCTCGGGGCAGCAGGGCTGGGGGCGACCGGGAATGTGCCTGAAAGGACACCGAGCACAAGCCCCTCCGGTGACCTGAACCCGGCTCGCGTTGGCTGCTCATCCCGGCTTCCTCCCCTTCTGTTCCGTTCCCTTTCTATTTTCCCTTCCCCTTTCAGTTTTCTCTTTTCATATTCCATTTTCCCTTTCCATTTTCCGTTTCCCTTTCGGTTTTCTCTGTCCATTTTCCCTTCCCATTTTTTCTTTCCCTTTCCCTCCACTACGACTGCCCAGGGCCCTGCAGCACCGTGTGTCGCCCCACGAGTGTCCCTGTCACCTCCCCTCCTCGTGCCAGGGAGAACCCCCTCTCTTCCCGAGGCAGTGCCCACGGGGGTCTGCGGAGAACGGTGGTGATGGGGGGGAGACACGCGTGAGAAAACACGGATGTGCGGGGACAGGACGGGATATCTGGGGTAGACGAGGACAGCCAGGCCCTGGTGAGGGACACAGGGGAAGGCAGCGGGGGGTGGTCGTGGGGGCGTCGGGGACAGGCTCAGCCAGGGATGGAGGCGAATCAGGGGTGCGGGCGGCCAGATTTGTGTGTGTGTGTGGGGAGAGACGGGATCAGCCAGATGTGCGGGGGCGCAGGTGGGCACATCACACCCGCACATCGCACCCGCACATCACTCCCTCACATCACACCCGCAGCGCTGCCAGACGCGCGCTGGGCACCGGGTGCGGGGGGTCACGGCGGTGCGGGGGGGAGGCGTGACACCCGGTACGGGGAGGGTCACCCGGTACAGGGAGGGTCACCCCGGTGTCAGGGGGCGCCCGGCTCGAGGGGGTCACCCTGGTGCGGTGGGTGTCACCCAGGCGGGGGTCTGGGTGCGGGCGGGGTGCGACCCCGCGCTCCCCCCGTCCATCCCACCCACCCCCGCCGGCACCGGGAGAGGTGCGGGGGGGCGGCTCGGGGCGGGGCGGGGCGGCGCTGACGTCACGGCCGAGCCACAGCGAGGCTGCCGGGAGCCGGCGGCCGAGGCACCGCAGCCGCCCCGCACCGCGCCCCGCGCCCCGCTCCGCCGAGCCCCCGCTCCGCCGAGCCCCGCGCCCAGCAGCGCGGCCGGCGGGCGCACCATGCCGGCCTGACCGCGGGGCGCGGACATCGATCCCCGGGCGCGGAGTCTGAATTAATCCGGGCAGCCGGTGCGGGGAGGGGGCGGCGGTGGAGGAGGAGGAGGAGGAGGAGGAGGCGGCGGCGGCGGCGGCGGCTGCGGGGGTGGGGAGGAAGGCAGCGAGCGAGCGGGCGAGGCAGCGGCAGAGCCCGGCGGCCACCATGGAGCTGGCGATGGAGAACCTGGGCAGCCTGCACGGCGTCCCGCACTCGCAGCCCGCCGAGCTGCTGAGCCCCGCGCACGGGCGGCAGAGCTCGCACCGCAACCTGGTGCCGCACGGCCGGCCAGCCATGGTCTCGGGCATGGCCTCCATCCTGGAGGGGGGCGATTACCGCGGCGAGCACAGCCTGGGCGCCCCGCTGCACCCCGCCATGAGCATGTCCTGCGAGTCGCCCTCCGGCATGAGCCTGAGCAGCACCTACACCACGCTGACCCCCCTGCAGCACCTGCCGCCCATCTCCACCGTCTCGGAGAAGTTCCACCACCCGCACCACCACCACCACCACCACCACCCGCACCAGCGCCTGGCCGGCAACGTCAGCGGCAGCTTCACCCTCATGCGCGACGAGCGGAGCTTGGCCTCCATGGGCAACCTCTACAGCCACTACCCCAAGGACATGCCGGCCATGGGGCAGCCCCTGTCGCCGCTTCCCAACGGGCTGGGCAGCCTCCACAACGCCCAGCAGCCGCTGGCCCCTTACGGCCCCGCCGGCCACTTGCCCAACGAGAAGATGCTCTCGCCCAACGGCTTCGACTCGCACGCCGCGATGCTGTCCCGGGGCGAGGAGCACCTGGCGCGGGGGCTGGCGGCGCCCAGCTCGGCCATGATGCCGCCCCTCAACGGGATGCACCCGCACGGCCACCCGCACGGCCAGCCCGGAGCGTCGCTGCTGGGCGAGCGGGAGCGCCCCGCGCCCGGCCCCGGCTCCCAGCCCGGCGGCTCCGGGCAGGTGGAGGAGATCAACACCAAGGAGGTGGCTCAGCGGATCACGGCCGAGCTGAAGCGGTACAGCATCCCGCAGGCCATCTTCGCGCAGAGGATCTTGTGCCGCTCCCAGGGGACCCTCTCGGACCTGCTGCGGAACCCCAAGCCCTGGAGTAAGCTCAAGTCCGGCCGGGAGACTTTCCGCAGGATGTGGAAATGGTTGCAGGAGCCGGAATTTCAGAGGATGTCGGCGCTCAGGCTGGCAGGTAGGACACGGCACGGCACGGCACGGCTCGGGCCACCCGCTCCAAACCTCCGGGCGGGGGGATCAGGGGGTGCTGCCAAACACGCATGGGAACCCCTCGAGGGTTTCGGGGTGCGAACTGGGGACGGGCTCGGCAGGGTGTTGCCGACCCGGTTTTTGTAACATTAAGACCGAAGGAAAAGGATTTAGATTTAAGACGAGTTATATCTAAGGCGACTCCCCGGCTCCCCGGGCCTGCTGCTGCCCGCGAGAGATGCGGGATCGCGGGTGGTGGGAGCCGGGAGCTCCCCGGTCCGCCTGCCTTGGGGATATCCCTCTCGGTCCCGCCGAACTAGTCGCTTGGCCCCGGGAGTATCCTGCCCCCGGGGCCGCTGCTGGAGCTCCTCCACCGTCGCTACCGGGGCCGCGCTCTGGGGAAGCTCCAGGACACCCCTCCGGGGCCGCGCTCCGCTCCCTCCGGGCACCGGCTGCGCTCGGCAGGAGGATCGGGACCCCCCTGCCCGTGTCTCCGCTTCCCGGCTGGGTCGGGGTCCCGCAGGGCAGATCCCCGCGGCCTCGGGTCGGCGCTGGGCCGAGGCTTCGCCGGAGAAACGCGGTTTTTCTGTGCGGAGGGAAGGTGGGGGTCACGGGGAGAAAGGCTAGGGGGCGGGGGGGGCATAGAGGGGTCAGCTGCGGGCAGGGACATGCCCGGGTGCGACCCACCACCCTCGGCACGGAGCCGCTCCCCCGGGGAAGGGCCGGAGCTCTCGACTCCACAGGGTCGAGCCGTGGTGGAGAAAACAGGCGTGCACGACTTTTAATCTATTTTTTTAAGAAATCCGAGCTCCCCGCGGAGCCGGGTAGAGCCAGAGACGAGGACCCGCCGTTATTTATGGGGGAGAGCAGCGTTCATATGTATTTAGTGTAATTCAGTTGCTCTTTAATTAGGGCAGGGTAGTGGCATCTTTTAGTTCCAGTCGATGCCCTATTGAAAAGCAGTTAATAGAATGCAAATTGTTCCTGGCTTTACAAGGTTCTGGTAAATAAAGATTTAAACACTGCCGCGATCGGCCGTTTAATGCCCCCGTTGTTGGGGCTAATTGAGCAGCGGGCTTGGGCTTCTTCCTCGCCAGAATTGGAAACAATAATAAATAATTCAATAATAATGATAGTAAAAATAAAAATAACCGGGATGGGGATGATAAAAAGGTGGCTGCAGGTGGAGGAAGCTCAGAGGGATGCCTGTTCTCGGCCGACTTATTATTGGGGTCCTAGTCCCCAGCCCGGGCCAGGAATCCCTGTCCCTCTACCTGCTCGCAGGGTCCCTGTCCCCGCTGCCACCGCTCCGCTCCTCCCGCCGCCGTGGCACGTTTATTTTCCTTAAAATGGTTTTTCTTCCCCAGCGTCGTTTCCTCCGGCGCCAAGGCCGCCATGGCCCCATTATTTACGAGAATTAACCCCCCAGATTTCCTGGGAACAGGGTTTATTCATTTCCGTGAAAACAAGAGAAACCCCACACCAAATCCCCAGTCCACTCGCCCGCCGTGAATCCGCCCGTGTTGAACCCGCTCCCCACGCGGGCCCGGCCGCCCCACGCGGCTCGTGGAGGGGCTCGACCGAGCTCCCCCCCTCGGCCCTGTCGCTTTGTTCCCGGTGCCCGGCCCCTCCGGGACCCACTTTCGTTTCGTTCCTGCCGCCGTCTCGCCCTCCCGGGCCCGGCCGTGGGGCCCGTTCCAGCCCCTCAGGCTCAGCCCCGGCCCGACCGCCCCGATCAGTGGGGTCTGGGGGAGGGGGTCGCGCTGGGGGGGCCGTACCCGAGCCCCTCTATCGATGCAGGCGAATCCCCCCCCCACCACCAGACCCACACCGAGGCCGCAGGTTGAGCTTCCTTGTCCTTTCAGGCCGCCCCGGACTGGGGGCCTGGAGGGGTCTGGATGGCTGCAACCCCCCCCCACTATTCCCCTCCCCCGGCAAACAGGGAAGGGACCCTTTCCTCGCCTGGGCAGCGAGAGGAATTTTTTCTTCCCAGTAAAAGTGGAAAAAACCCGAGTGTTAGACGCGGGGCACGGGTGGGGCAACGGTTGGTATCGGTCCTGATCCTATTCCTGGTCCTGATCCTGGTTCTGTTCCTGGTTCTATTCCCATTCCTATTCCTGGTCCTGTTTTTGGACCTGGTCCTATTCTTACTCCTATACCTATTCTTATTCCTATTTGTTCCTAGTTTTGATCTTGATCCTGGTCCTGGTCCCGGTCCTAGTCCCGGCCCGGGGCCACCCGGCTGCGGGAGTCCATCTGATGGATTAGTCCGAGTCAGTGAGTCGCCGATCGATGCCCACGCCGGGCCCCTATAAATGGCACCCGCCGCTTTTCTCCTCTTTCCACCCCAGTTCCCCCCATCCCGCCTCCCCTTCCACAGATGAACCATTAATTATTCAGCCGGGAGATGGGGGGGGGGCGCAACTCCCGCCGCCCGGGGCTCCCTCCGGCCCCGCTCGCCCCAAGGGGCTCTGCAAAAGAGTGGAGGGCGTCCCACGGAGAAACATCTGGGCGGCAGCTGGCGGTGCCCGGCCCGTCCCCTCGGGCCATTCATCCTCACGGCGTGACCACAGCCCCCGCGGCCCCGCTCCGGATTCAGCTCTACAAACTTCGCGACCACCCCACGAGGCCTGCGAGGGCCCGCGCGTGGGGGAGAGCTCCCACTGTGGCGCTTTCGGGGGTCCCTGCACGGCTCCGACCCCCACCGGCTGTGGTCCGTCCCTGGGGGTGAAACAGTCGTCGGCTTCGTTCCCGTGGGATGATGCGGGAAGCGGGTGCGCTCCTGCGTTCCCACCCCGCGTGTCCGCGGAGGGCAGTGGGTGCCTTCCCACCAGGCGTGTCCGTGGGTGCGCTCCCATCCCCTCAACCCCGTCGGTGGAAACCCCCCTGCCCGGCACGGATTTATCCCGACACTCAGGACGAGGAAATTCTGTCGGGGTTATTTCTCGGGAGGGCGACAACACCGTTGTGTCCCTTTCGGGACACGGCGCTCCCCACTCGCCGCCTTCCTTCGTCCCTGACTCCATCCACCCTCCCGTGGTTTTCCCCTCTTTGCGTGGAATTTACCCCGCGGGGGGGCACGGCCGGCTCGGGGGGGCCGCGGGCTGTGCCCGGGGCCTGAGCAGCTCCCCGAGCCGGGCAATCCCTTCTGCTTTTACATTTGCTTCTCCTTTACCTCTCCCACAATTCTTTTTATTTTTCCATTTGCTCCCTCCCCCGATTTTTAGTTCTCCTTTTGAATTTTTTTTCGTTTTCTACTTTTTTTGTTGGTGTTCGTTTTGTTTTGTTTTCGTTTTATTTTTTCCTTCCCTTTCTCCTTCCCTTTCTCCTTCCCTTTCTCCTTCCCTTTCTCCTTCCCTTTCTCCTTCCCTTTCTCCTTCCCTTTCTCCTTCCCTTTCTCCTTCCCTTCCTCCTTCCCTTTCTCCTTCCCTTTCTCCTTCCCTTTCTCCTTCCCTTTCTCCTTCCCTTTCTCCTTCCCTTTCTCCTTCCCTTTCTCCTTCCCTTTCTCCTTCCCTTTCTCCTTTCCTTTCCTTTCCTTTCCTTTCCTTTCCTTTCCTTTCCTTTCCTTTCCTTTCCTTTCCTTTCCTTTCCTTTCCTTTCCTTTCCTTTCCTTTCCTTTCCTTTCCTTTCCTTTCCTTTCCTTCCTTTCCTTTCCTTTCTTCCTTTCCTTTCCTTTCCTTTCCTCTCCTTTCCTTTCCTTTCCTTTCCTTTCCTTTCTTTTTCTTTCTGTTTCTTTCTCTTTTTTTTTCTGTCTTTCTCTCTTTCTTTCTTTCTTTCGTTCTTTCTTTCTTTCTTTCTTTCTGTCTTTCTTTTTTTTCTTTCTTTTCTTTATCTTTTTCTTTTCCTTTCTCCTCTCGTCCAAGGAAATCGCCGCCGCAGTACAAACCGTCGTTATTCAAAAAATAATTAAAAAAAAAGCTCAAAATCACCCTGAAACTGCTAACACGATCGCGGGGCTGGGCCAAGGCAAATGCCCGAGAGCTCTGACAACACCAATAATTAATGTCGCTAACTAATACTGCGAATTAATACACAGAATTGCCAGAATGAAGGACAAGATCGCGCTGAGAAAAACCTCTGGGGAAAAAAATATACATATATATATATATAATTTTTTTCGCTAGTTTTGTTTTAATTTCAGCCTCTTTCAAACGACTTCGGCCCAACGGCGGCTCCGACGGCGGCGGAAAATCGCGGCCGGTTTCGCTGCTTTCGATCCGCGCGTGGCCGCGGAGCGACGGGGAAAAGGCGCCGCGGCCACGGGGAGGTTTTTAGGGGATCGGGAGCGAAGGGATTCGCCGCAGTGAAATGGGGGGAAAACGGGAGCTTGCGGGTCCAGGCTCCCAGTGGCTCCTCCCGAGGAGGAGTCGGAGAAAAACTCGGGAAAGGAGAGAACCCCGTGTTCCTGCTGGGGGAAAAAAGTGGGGTCTTTCTGTTTTCGTTCGTTTTTTTACTTAAATGTCTTAATTTTTTTTTCTTAAATTATTGTTATTTTGTTTAATTTTTTTTAGCATGTTAAGAGGGTCGCAGCTGGATGATCTTTAAGGTCCCCTTCTGAACCCGAAGCGTTCCGGGATGCCGTGAAACACGGGCAGCTCCGTCCGCCGCTGCGGAGCGGCCACCGCCGGCGTGCCCGGCTCCGTGTCCCGCACCTCCCCGCGCCTCCCTGCACCCCGCACCCCGCACCGCGCCCCGCACCGCGCCGCCGCCTTATCAGCGCGCCGGGGCCGCCTCGCTCCGCCCGCCGCTGTTTTCCTGTTTGCTCCCGGTGTGCGCAGTCAGAACGGGGCCAATAAACCTCCCGCCGGTTAAACATTAAATGGGGTTCCTCCCCCCACCCGCGTCCGTGGGGTCACCCAAATGCTGCTCCCCAAATCCTCCCCCCCGCTCCGGGCTCTGCTCGCCGCCTGCCCGGGAGGGACCCCCAGCCCCGGGGGCCACAGCAGGGGCTTTTCTTGCTGCCTCTTTTTTTGGGGGGTGTTGTCA